ATTTACCTCAGTACTTGATTCAGCTATAAATTCATGCTCACTACTAGTATCTTATAGTTTGTTTGTTTTTTTGTACGGAAAACAATTTTCAAATCTATTCTTAATTGAGTTGTTTAATATTAATTTATTTTCTTAAAATGTATTTACCTTCTTGTCGAGGTCTCTCAGAGACAATGTGCCATTCTGGAGAAATTCCCTCAGTTTTTCAGGGTTCTACAATAAAAACAGAAATTAACTATGCTAAGTAAGTTTCATTAAAAATGGTATTGTGTCTGTTGCACTAAACAGTTTAATCTTTTAAGGAATGTTTAACAATATTCATACAGCCTACCTCCGACGAGCTAGCCATTGAATAAAACAGGAAAGTCTGCTTTTGCACAATTTTTCTTAAACTGCTTAAACTGTGTATTATGACGACATTGATATTGTGATGTCATTGATATTGTGACGTCATTGGATTAAAAACTAAATATTATAATTATTCTAAATGTATAATTATTTTTAAGAAAGAAATATTATAACCGTCCCTTAATAAAACTAGGGATCATAACTATATGATTTACAATAACACAGCAGTTGATGACTACATAGCATGTTTTTCAGTAGGTATACAGATACACAGTTTTTTTCTAATTGTGTTAACAACTTAACCTTGAGATCCAACTGTGTGAATGGAAAGCACGTCTGTGTAATAACTAATAAATGTCAATAAACATGTATTGAAATAAGAATAAGTTCCTACCTCTAGTTCTTTCAATTCCATCTTTAAAAATATTAAGCCTAGATAATGAGTATCGCTTTGCACAAAAACAACTGAAATATAAGTTATGACGCTATTTGCTTTGTGACGTTTCTAGGACTGTGACGTCACCAACAATTTTTTTACCATACGAAAGAAATAAATGCAGATATTGTTCAAAACCTCCATTGTATTTGTTCAGTTCGATTCATGAGCCACAATGTCTGAATTTACTGTCTGTTTCTTCTTCTTCGAAAGATCCTTTCGCCAATGGAATTAAACGAATGCAAGTCAATTAAAGATTTATGAATCCAATTTTGTTTTACATGGGGTTTTTTTACTGAAAAAAGGTTGAAACACTTCTAAAGATTCAATATTCTTGTTAAAAAGGTACAACATTGCACTGCAAAGTCGTCGTACATATAGTATTGGGGTTTTAATTGCGTAACTTGTAACACTAAAAGACGGGCGCAAGTAGTCATTTATTCGTTTCGGCTGCATGGGTTTTCCCACCAATTTGCACATACTCTATAACGTCCTGAGATGGGGTCATACAAAAATCATTAATTAAGTTCCAAAACTTGCTGATTCTGGCTGTTTGTAAAAAAAAAAAAGGTAGTATTCTGTAACATGCCGTAACATTGACAAGTATCAGAAATACCGAATGTCTTGTTAAGAATTTTTACTATATATATATAACGAGTTCTATTGGTAAAATGAAATGATAAATGAAATGTGTAAATCAAGAACTAGACAAATGTTTCTTTAAAATACTTTATATAGCAAGTATTTGGAGAAATTTTGAGAGCTAGTTGGTTTTGTTACTACAACACAAATATGCGATTTACGGTATTTCACGGGACGTATATCATAAATCTAAGCTCTATTCTGTTTAAAATGGAAGTCTTGTTCCAGACAAAATCTTATTTTTGAAATGTGCATATACATAGTTTTATATTGAAAAGAAAAAAATATTATGTTTATAGAACTCATTCAAAGGACTGGTCTCCACGACCCCAGGTGATTCGAAACCGCGACGTACTGAACATCGTTATTGCATGGTATTGCATTTTTACGTATTAAAAAGGTTATAACGGGGCGCAATTGGTACCCATGGGAATTTCGACAGTTTGTTAGAAGGCATGGTTTCCAAAAATAAAACCATATTGTTAATCAGATACTCAAGCATCTTTTTGATACGTTTGTATCAACTCAGGGTACTTGTGTGTACAATCAGAATGTTTTTTTAACAATACAATAATTTTGCAAATGATCAATGTCAAGGTAAGTAAAACTAAGAGTTCGAAAAAGAAGCTCCCATTGATGTCAGAAAGCCTGGACTTTAATTTATGTTGGGAAAAGGTTGTATATAGATATGAAAAATCGTAAGATTTGGTGCTATTGTTTTTGGTAAAAAAAAAATGATTTAAAATTTTTATTCAAAAGTTCCTTGGAATTTTTAAATATCCACAACGTGATCAAAAACACTTCTCGTATATATTACTTTACAGTAGCTTTTACATGTTTTTTTCCTGGAGCCCCCCCCCCCCCCCCCATTTTCCACTACTGTAAATTAACATTTTAAGAAGGAAAAAAGAATGGTGACATTTTTACAGGAAATTTTGTACTTAAACGGATATACTGTAGATCGATGCATAAATACAAGTTCATATTTATATTATTAATATAAATCTTCATTAAGTCTTAAGTCTACGTAAATCTGATTTCATTCACGTTTCAATTATCAATAATTTAGAAGTTAAATAATTAAATGTCAATGAGGTTGCCGCAGACAAGAGCAATACGCGGAAAGTCAATATACAGATTGAATTTCTGATATATACACATGCATTTATATCACGTTGGTCTCGTTCACTTGTGAAAGAACATTCACGTGTTGGTATTTTTGGACTCTTCTCCACATAACAATTGCTGTCTATGCACGCGCGAAAATTGACCATTGGAGATGTGTATATGAGTGTGCTGCCGAATTAGGCAACTAGTGTGTGACTGTTGGAGGTAATAATAATATCGCACTGTCCATCAAGATTCTCACACTGTGTAATATTTCTTGGAGAATTTTTTTCTACGTAAGTATACTATTCATTAATTATACTTGAATTTGATAACAATCAAACAAAAATGTTCATGCGTTTTTTGAAAAAAAAAATATTAATCAGGAGGAATTGAAGTGTTTTTGTTGTTTATTACATTTTAGTTTCTACAATATTGCAAGTTTATAACGAACGAGTGCGCAGGGGGAAGGGGGGTATCTTGCAATGAATAAGTTCCAGGCTTTTAAATTAATAAATGACACTAATCGAAGGTTGAACATATTACTACTATGCACAATTTAATTAATATTTTTGACTAACAAAAGATTAAATTAAGAATCAAGCACATTTTAGCATCCACGCACGCTACGCTTTATTAAAAATCAATACAAGGAACCAGGTCAGTTATTTTCAATTAATGAACTTTTTGTCCTGAAATGGTGTCTTAATACATAAATATATCAGTTTTTTTTTTCTTCTTCTAATATTTTGTATCCAAATAAAAGGATGCCAACGTGGGACCAAATACAGTTTTATGTTATCTTGCATAGAAACATTAAAAATTACAACAAAGAAAAGCGCTTCAAATTACTCCTCATAATCTATTGTGACCTTTCTGCACTCATGAATATTCGCTAACGATAGCGAGATCTAAGATGAGATGCATAGACTTTGATCGTGGGTATTTAATTGATTATAATTGATTACAGTTTATTTGGCATCCTAGAATCCAAAATTGTAAGAACTCACTCATTTTTGAAATGAGTTTGAAGTTCTGAACTTGAATACAATTTCAAAAATGAGAGGTTTTGACAGCAATTGGCTAGACAGCTCATTAATGATTAAATCTGTAATATTCTTATTAATTAAAGGTGAAAGAATATCAATGTGTTAAAAAATCAAGATTTAACTTTCCTTTACAGGGAGTGTTGTAGAAAAACCATACTCCCTGGTCCCTAGCCTGTTATAAGATAGTAGATTTAAAGCATTCCTGACTTAAGGAGGCTAGGGGGTCAACAAATTATTTTTTTATTAACCACCAGATATAACTTAAATTTTGGGATATGATATCTTAAGCTGTCAACTATCATTTGGCAAAGATAAATGTTAGTTTTAAAATTTGATCATTTTGTGATATCTTTAAATGGAGCTCTTCTTCTAAAGGAGATCAAAATAGTCTAAAAATGGCCGCAACCACCCACCCTCTTTAAACTAAAACTGGCAAAATGTTTCCAAAGAAAATCAGTGTCATGAAAAAAAACACACGATGTTTTGTAGTTTGATATGAAATTTATTCCTTATGTAAGATAAATTCTACACGTAACATTGAATATCTTTTATTTCATTTATTCCGGGTTTTTTATGCGCCCGAATCGATAGATCCGAGGCGTATATTGTTTTTGTCCTGTCTGTCTGTCTGTCTGTCTGTCTGTTTGTTTGTTTGTTTGTTTGTTTGTCCCCAAACTTTAACCTTCGCCATAGCTTTTGAACCATGAAAGGTAGAAACTTCATATTTGGTATGCATACTTCACTAATTAGGTGCTTTCAAATGACACCAATATTAATGACCTTGTGACCTTGAATGTGACCTATATGCTAAAAATAGCTTTTCTGTCTGCAAACTTTAACCTTTGCCATAACTTTTGAACCATGAAAGATGGAGACTTCGTATTTAGTATGCATACTACACTAATAAAGTTCTTTCAAATGACACCAAGGTCAATGAACTGGTGACCTTGACTGTGACCTATATGCTAAAAATAGCTTTTTCGTACTTTTCTCCATAACTTTTGAACCATGAAAGATAGAGACTTCATATTTGGTGTGCGTACTTCACAAATCAAGGTCTTTCAAATGACACTAAGGTCAATGACCTTGTGACCTTGACTGTTACCTATGCTAGTATGCTAGAAATAGCTTTTTCGACTTTTGTTGCCACCGGGCGCATAGTGTTTCACAAACACATCTTGTTTAAAATCATTTTAAATTGCAGCTGCAATACTCCATATAACCGATACATTTTCGCACAAAATCAAATAAAACGGTAAAAGTTGTGAAGTAAAATTCATTTTATAATCCCCCTGTAATTGACTGATAATTTTAAATACGTACATTAAAAAAATCAAACACGCCTAAATTGCATATATAAATTTAATTTATTAAAATATTTTTTGACAGCTGCCAGGTTCATCATCAAGAAAAAAAACATGGTTACCGAGAGGAAAATGACTCCTGGTGACAGAGCAGGCGAAAGGGTAAACTTCAATATCTACATGAACTTCTATTTCTAGGGAAATTTTGGGGTTGTGTGAGCTTTTTTTAATTATCAAATGCATGCAGCAGTTTCTTGAAATCTTCGTAATAATTTTTTTGTTTGAAATTATACTCAATTTTTTTTTTTTTTTTTTTTTTGCAACTCTTAAGAATCTATATTATATTCAATCAATATGTTTAATTATGACTACTTGCATGTATACTCTGATGTGTCGAATGACGCAAAGGAATAATGAACCTGAATTTCATACAAAATATTGTGACATATTATCACATAATAAGGGTGGTTAAGAGGGACAGTTGACCCAGAACACAGGGTTAGTTCAGAAAAATGAGGCCCGTTGCCCATTACGTTCACCTGGGTCTCCTCCCATACACCAAAATGAAAAGCAGGGCTACGCTACATAACAAACCCTGTAGTGACTCATTTCATTTAGTTTCACAATTTTATAACTTATTTATTCATTAATCAAGTTAATTTCTTTTAAAATATGGGTTTAAATTACAATGACAAAGATATCAAAAGAAAACACACAAAATCGTTTTACAACAATGCTCTCATATTTTGCCAAGAAAATTAAGTGCAAAATATGAATAGATGCATGTGTGTAGAAGAAATACTGCAACAAAAAAGAAGGTGGATCGACCTTAATTGAATGAAAAAGAGAAAGGGGGTCGCCCTACCTACACACCTGCTTCCCCGACTACAGAGTTGCAAACTCCAGGATATGACGATAGACGCTGTAAATTAAAACTGATAAAAACAATGTCTTTAAACAGAGCGAGCTTACGTTAGAAGATACATGTCTTCATTGTGAGCTTTTTTAATTCTGGTATTGATTTCTAAGAACATTTCTATACATGTAACTTCTTGACAACAAGCATGTTTTTCTTTGGCTTTTTGTGACAAAATGTTATTCAGAGTGAAAGAGGATTTTTTTTAATTAAGCTAAAACAGGATCCAAAGGTAAGGAATAAAGGTACTTATGTTTGCAACTCTGGATAGATACAGTGTATGTACATGTACTTACTTCGTTTATCGCATGGAATGGGTTGTTAACATTGTTAGTTCAGGCCTTATAATCTGATATATTATTTTAAGCCTTAATGGGAGTGTTTATTAGTTAGAGAGAAACAATCAGTCAGTATTTAGATATTAACTTATTCATGTCCAAGGAAATGCTATTTAGAAATTATATAAATAACTTATGTTTCTATATATATATACTAGTAGTCTTAAAGATCAAGACGAGGCCCATAAACTTTACAAGTATGTCATCTGGCACAAGAGTTGACATACCTTTCAATTTTCCCGAATTTCAGTATGTATATATATATATCATTTTTTATCGTAAAATATGTAATATACCATAATATCATAATTACCTATTATTTTATGCTGAAAAATGTCTATTTAAAAAGGATTGCCAACTTCTGTGATTTATGTATCGTTAGTCTTTCGAATTCAGGCTATAACAACGGTATTCCCAAATAAACAAATTTAAACCAATTTTGGAATAAAGCCTAAATGGGTGAGGAGAAGATTGTTAATTTCATGAACCCCCATCTTTAGGTCTAAGGGATGGGGCTAAAATTATCCAAATCTTCGCTCTTGGTTATTAAGTAAACAAACTACCCGGTAAATTAACGGATATGATGAGCAAAGGTGCCTCCATTATTTTGAATTCCTCTCACATAAACAAGAATTATAATATGATGTAATACAAAAACTACTTTCATACTTTTAAATGATGAGACTGCACACTTGCTCATTTTATTTTTTTAAAAATGAGACAAAAATACTTTAACCTTAATACCGAGAGAGGCCAGTATCCATGGTATCTGTAAGGAAAGCTAAAATGAAACTCTCAGGCTTTCTTGTGGAAGTCATTTCATGCAATATATTCTGACCTTGACCTTGGGTCATTTGATCTCAAAATAAATAGAAATACAGTGTAATAGGAAGTGCAGTGTAATGATATTTGAAATTTTATTGAAAGTATCAGAAGACTTTCAGTGAAAATGCACAATTTTAGAAAATATTTGAACTTGTGAGTTTGACCTCTCACCTTTCGTCTCAAAATCAAAGATGTCTTCTTTAAGAATATAAATCAAAATAATTCTCCAGTCATATAATTTGCATTAAGCTTCAACAAATCAAACTTAGAGGTGTCTGCTTAAAATCATTTTATATAACAATGATAATTTTTTATTGGGAATAACGCGAAGCCAACAGAAATTCAGGATTTTAATCATTTTTTTTAATTATAAAAGAATTACTCAGTATAAACGACTTTCGGGCATAAGATCTGAGTAGTAATTGTTGTGAAAATTACCATTACCACATTTGCAGTATATTGCTTCAGAAGGGAATTCAGTAGTAATTTTCTTAACTTCGTTAAAAAAATTCAAAATATCCTTCATGAATTAAAATGCATATATATTTTGATGGTTACCTTATACATGTATTTAATTATGTATATTACAAAAATGTCGATTTTTTTCTTAATTCAACTTCAGATTCAACCAGACGCAGGAAGAACAACATCAAATGTCAATGTCCACGAACTACCTTACCAAGTTAACATGATGTCATCAACTTCAGCTGGTAAGAATTACTAATTAGTAAACCATGCAAGCACCAACCTGAGTCATCTTCGCTAGCCAAGGGTTTTCGGTCCACCCCGCTCCCCATAATTTACGGGAAGCGAAGTGGACCGAAAACCCTTGACTAGCGAAGATGCCCTTGAGTGCGGTGGCTGCTTTAGGACATAGAATTTTTTTTTAAATTTCTCAAGCATATGCCCTTTTAGCAACCATCCTATTTGTTGGATTTTTTGGGGGGAAAAAAATAAGCCATCGTGTGCAGATCAGTAAAATATGTTTTCATTCGTGCATTATTAATTAACGATATTGATTTTGACCACATAGTAAAAATACAACTCCTCCCCCCCCCCCCCCCCCCCTTCGAACCTTACACATTCATGTAATATTCACTTCCAATATTTTTGAGAAACTGGTGGGATGGCAGTTCGTATGAACGTGTAGATTCATACCTTGGGTAATTTATACCAATAAGTCGAGGTTTCAATTTTATATTTAAAAAATTATCTTTTTTATTTTCTTTTTTGATGGTGTATATATTGAATAATTATATACAGGTATTATATTCAATTTTTGTTTTATTGATTTTCCCCCTCCAATCTGATTAACACAAGGTAGCGATCTATATGAGCGCATCAAAGGATCTGATTTTAATCAGATTGTTTTTTTTTCTCATAATGCATTTAAAATCTGGCTTGGAATATCCATATGTCATAAGTTTAATTACTTTTTTGGCTGAAATCCTATAAAACATGTCTATCTGAGAAGTCTGGATATATACATACCATTTATTAAGCTTTATAAAATCGGCTGATACATTTTTGGAATATTTCTATTTTTTTCCTGCATTCAAGGTAATTCGACATAACTTTTTTTAATTGATGATATATGCAGGGTTCTTTTGTATTGTATTTGTAAAAATTTGTAATCACTTTAACATTTGGGTAGGTAGATATATACATTTATAAATATCACCTAATGAAATCAGAAATGTAATTCAGGTATCTGTGAGATGATACATATGGAGATAACGAATATCATTCAAGATCAAAAGTCTATAAAACAATACAAAACAGGAGCAGAGCAAACACAGACCTAAAAAATATCAGAGGTGGATCAGATGCCATGGAGGAGTAAGCATCCCCTGCCCACGGTCACACTCGCCGTGTGCTCCTTGTCAGATACATATTTATGATAGAAAAATAGACCAAAGCAAGTGATGAAGTGTCTGTATACCGGGTATTTCTTAAACCTTAAAAAAAGTTTAACATGCTGATGACGCACGTTCATTAATACTAGTATCAGAAACTTGTACATATGAACCTCTTTTAATTGTTTATTTTTTGCATAATAAATCCATTCTAAGAATTAACAGTATTAAGTTCTGTGTTTCCTGCGGTTCCCAAGGAAATACGAATCCAGACCAAAATTGTCGATCGAATGACGTAAATCGAGAGAGTAATGACTAGATTATCACTATTGAACGCATGGAATAATTAAATCAAATCGTACTCTGTGACTTCTGTATATCGGCTTTTATCGATATTTTCTTAAAACAAACATATAAGAAAAATGCATATAATTTTTACCTCGCAATCAAAAATAATATAATTCTCTTCATATACCGTAAAGTAATAAAGATGGTTGATTAATTGATAATTTCACATCCTGCTATGCACAATATTTTGTTGAAAATCTGCATGCATGTGACAATTCGTCATTTGCACATGATAAAAGAGTTTTCTTATTTCACGATTTTCAGTGGCCAGGTCAGATCGATGTCTGTTGTCAAAGTAGCAGTCCATTTTACCTAGGTCGCGATGAATGACTAGTATAACTGACAGGACGGTCCCTAGCATGATAGGCCAGGTCGATACTAGTTCAGTTCTGTCACTGTCCTTTTTTACTACATGTTCAAATGATAGGATATAGGGAGATTTTTCTCAGGACATGGGGTGATCAGTACAGATGCACTTAGCTTATTTTGTAGAGCACCTGACTAATCAGTAATGATCGATGCATGGGGTCCTGGGTTTGATTCCCTGTCCAGCTTTTCATGTTACATGTCATGCCCTGAAATTAACAGGGAAGAGGCTACGTGTCTTGATGGTATTTTCATGGAAGGGGAGGGGGAACCTTAAAGAAGGGTTCAATGTGTCAGTCAGACGGATTTAATTGCCTGAAGCCAGATAGTTCAGTTGGTAGAGCACCTGTCCAGGGAATTCAGTCGGATTCGAATCCCCGTCTGGTCCGTTGTATATTTCTCTTTTGCCTGTTTGACTGTAGTCACACTGATCCGTCTCACCCGCGCAATATAAGGGGTTTTTACTTTTTAGACATGTTACCGTTGTGCAACTGTCATGTGAATTTTGAATTT